GTGCTTGGAAAAAATCTTTCATTCCTTTAGAGACAGCATGAAAAGTCAGCTGAGTACAAAACATAGAGAGGAAAACAAGAAGAAAAGGGACAAGAAGAGAGGGACACAACCTAGAACAGAGAATGGATGTCTATTCTATTAACATTTCTACATCTGGACAATGGGGCTGCATGTCCTCCCAGCAGAAGGCGGGCTTTAGGACCATGCAGCTGGTGTTCTGGTTCTGCTGGTTCTGAGGTTCTAGCTGCTGTGTTCTGTTTGCTCCTGCAGAGGGAGGGTGTTCCACTGAAAATGGTTCCGCTGATATTTGCTTCCTGTGGGTTTCCTCTTACCGCGGGATAAACCTGCTCCAGAAACACCTCCCGGTCCGCTCCGGTCCAAACAGGCACCGCCACATTTTCCTGCAGATCCATCTCAACTCATTCAGGCCGATTTTTCTCTTCCGGAAGCTGTGGGGTCGGACCTTCCGGTGGTGTTACATTGTTTGCGTCCCTGACTCCCGCAGAGGAACTGATTGGTTTTAGAGAATCTGAAGGGGGCAGCTTTTATTCATTTATTGATTAATTTATGCTTTATTGTGGTTTCCATCTAACATTACAGAATGAATCAAGCATAGATATACAACAGTTGGAGAAACATTGGACAATGATAGGTGAAAGAATAACTTTAAGAAAGACAAGACATAGAAGGTAAATAAAATGAAATAAAATAATAAAATAAACATAAAATAATAATAGCTAAGGGTTTACATTGAGTTTACGGTCATTTACAAAATGTTATAATTTTTATACCAATTTTATTCATAAATTTAAGTGATTGAAAATAAAGTTCTTTGAGAAAAACGTTGAAGTTTGGTTTGATCCTCATGTTTTTGTTTTTGTGAATGAAAAATGTCCCCATGATGAGTAAAACATTAACGGCTGAGTCCTGCAGCTTATCTGTCCTTTCTAGTCCAAACAAAACATTTTGTTTGTCCAAATGAGAAGGAGAATCACATTCAGATGAACACCAGAAGCAGAAATCTTTCCCGTAGAGACAGTCTTAAAACAGGCGACCAACAGTCTCAGCTTCACAGAAGGTTCAATCATTTTCTTAAAAAACCAAAACGGAGCCTCAGAAATTCCCTGGAAGGATAAATGTCAGCGATTATTTTGAAATGACTTCTTTAACCTTTGGAGCAACAGGAAACTGTAGATATTTATTCTGCAGTTTTCTCTTTTGGAAAATGTTTGGAGATAAAGTTCCTGTGGGATGAAATTCCCTGAAAAACAAACATAGTTGGTCAGTTTTCTATCAGTAACAGACTGAATAACAGAGAGGGAAGTTTAACCTGGACACGGTTTAGCAGCAGGATGACATTATGATCAGAGGCTGAGGAAGAGCTTTGATTAATATATTATATTGTTTTCTGTTATTTAGTTTGAATTTAGTCAGGGTAACCATGCAGTGATCTGTTGATGCTGCGGCAGAAATGTTAACTTTGGAAACAAAATGTGATTCTTTGTGAAATCTTTGTGATTATAAAATCACAAAGATTTCAAAGATCATGAAAAAGGTCAGAAAACACTTTAGATTTAGAATCAATGGCAGGAGTTCTAAAAATAAACTGGATAAAAACTTTTATGTCAGAAAGAATCCATCTGGTTTCATCTCCTAAAAATATTTTTAAGAAAGTCGGAGGGTTGGAATCCGTCCTGAAATGTGATTATATAATATAAATAATATAATATAAATGAGGAAACTGCCAGTCAGATTATCTGAAGTTCATAAACAGATTTTAAACTTTTGGACGATGATTATTTTCACATAATTTTACTCCACGGGTTGGAACAACAGAACTATAACGATAAACAGGAGAAAAATATTTAAAGAAGTTTGGTTTGAAAAATAAAGTGTTAGTCTTACTGATCTAATGGATGATCCTGGAAATTTCTAACATTTTAACATCTTTAAAGAAAAATTTGAAACCAGCTGTTTGTTCACAGAATTTAACAAAGTATGAAAATAATACCTGCTGCTTTTAATACGAAGCAAATTCTCTCCGTCAAACAGACAATCAGTCTTTCCAGAACTAAAACTTCAGCAATTAGAGATTAAAAAAATGTAACAATCATTTTATAGAGACAGCATTTAAATTTAAAACCTTTCATCATTTTACTGCAATGATAAAAATGTGTATAATTAATGATTCCAATAACAGAAAAATATTTTAAATATTTAAAATGTCCAATTCCACTAAAAGTAAAAGAAATACAAAATAAAACGATTATAATTATTATCCAACAGCAGAAACTCTCAGGAAAAGTTTAGGATTTAAAGTTGATGCCAGAAACTTTTTAACATTTTCTATTCGTGTCGCTTTAGGCAGAATCTGCTTATTTGGTTCATTAACAGAACAGATCATCTAACACTTTAATATTAACAGAGAAGAAATAAATTCTGCAGGATTTATCCGATGTGGTCAATATTGTTCTAAATACGGGAGGATATCAACGCATGGATGCAAAATGGAAAATAGAAAAACTTCATTGATAAGTTTCAAAAATTAACTCCAAATCTTCTATTCATCTTTATCTCTGTTAACCGACAAACATAAACTATGTCGACGTGTCAAAATGTTTTTGATTCAGCAAAATGCTAAAGTTAATGAGATGTAAGGAAGTGTCTTGTTGCAGAATGAGGCTGTTTCTTTTAAATTATTTAAAGTTTTCTATTTTTCCATTGGTTTTAATATTACTGTTTATTTATTCATTTATTTCTGTTGCCTTGCAATAGTCAATAATCTCCTTTATATAATATATGTTGTTTTCTCTTTTTTATGTAAGAAAAAAAAGTGGAGATTCCTTCTTTAAAAAGTAAATAAATATTTTTTTTGTTCAATAAAAGAAGGTTTTTATTCCTGCGGGTTTTTCGGTCCCACCATCTTGTTTCCAGCCGGAATCAGAAAAGCGGCGGACCGTAAAGATGGTGCCGGTCCTGTTCAGGTGTTTTTCTCGGCTGCCCTCCTCAGGGGTTCTGGCTCGGTTCGCTTTAGCCCGGAACCTGGTTCTGGGTCACCGCTGCTGTCTGGTCCGGACCGGTAACCTCCGGGCCGAACGGTCCTACAGTTCGGACCGGAACCGGAACCAGCAGAAGGTCGTTGTGGTCGGAATTCCCAACCCGTTCATCTGGTTCCGGACCCGGATCTACTACTTCCTGATCAGAACCTACTTTGATAAAGAGTTCAGCATCGAGGAGTTCATGGAGGGAGCCAAGCAGGTCCTGTAGGAGCCTGGGTTAATCTAGGTTAAACTGGGGTTAATCTGGGTTAAACTGGGGTTAATCTGGGGTTAATCTGGGTTTAATCTGGGGTTGGATTGTTTAACAGCACCATCATGCAGGCCCCCCCCCTTTTTTTTTACCCACTGCTGTGATCAGCGGGTAGAAAGTAGTTAGAATCTATGTTGAAGTGAGAAAGTC